TGGCTTTTAACCTAAGAGCGATGGCTTTTAACCTAAGAGCGATGGCTTTAACCTAAGAGCGATGGCTTTTAACCTAAGAGCGATGGCTTTTAACCTGAGAGCGATGGCCTCCTGTTCCTGGAAACGTCACTTCCTGATTGGTGAAGTTGTATTCCCACAGACTGAAACCATCGAAGGCAACTCCGACCGGTCTCCTATTACTTCAAGACCGGGGTCGAGTCCAAGTACATGCGCTTCGGTTTCATCGGTCGGGAGCCCCAAATAAACGCCCGGTCGGCGGAGCGATCTCTTGCGGTGGATTTCTTGGGTTCCACCCGCCACCCGCGAGTGCGCCCTTGCGCAGAGTGTGATCAATGAAGTTCTACAGTGCTGGTGTCCAAATGAATGAGATGCAAAATTGGCCTTCCGACCTAGGTTAGGCTTCGTCTTGGTGGCGCGTGTGTCATTCCGACCTGGTGGCGCAGTGGTTCCCTTGTTGTTGGTCAGAGCTTGGTGTTGGTCGCTTCTGCATACCAGGGGTCCTTGAAGGCACGCCTTTTGGTGCCAAACATGGAGGTCTCACGAAAGAATGCTTGGTGGTCTCACGGCTATAACTCATTATATGGGTGTGCATGAGTGTGTGCATGGTTCTTTTAGGGAGACAGACACCCAATGGGTAGACGGGAGGTCATGTTCCTTCTTGGAGGTCGGAGCCGCTTGATGTCAGGAAGAAGACTTGTTCATGGCCTTACGGGTGGTCATGGTGAAGACGTTCGTCAGCTATTGCGAGTCTGCGAGTTGCAACTTCCGGAGGAGGTACGACTGGAGCCCCAACGGGAATAAAATAGAAACGGTAGGCTTCGATCAACCATTGTTTTTAATGGTCTTAATTGTCTAAAAACCGAACAACCATGCTTATACCAAGGATTTTTATACAACACCACACTGCCAGGCTCAACCGTTTTTGATGGTGAAGGCTGGTCGGGGGTCTCTCCATCGCCCCACCTGCACCGCTCGTTCCGGTGCCCCGGTTCTCACCGCTGTGCCTCTCTCGCCGCCGCCCAGCCGACGAGCTGGAAACCGTGGTGCCGCAAGTGGTGCGCAACACCCGTCCGGGCGCCTGGCGGCGGTTTCTCGGATGCGGATGCGGTGTACCGAAGGGTGGTCGAAGAGGGATTGGGGAAAGGTGATGTTTTTTTTCCCGGAAGGTGGGAAGAAGTATATTATATATTGTAATTTCTAGGGCTCCAAGTATATACCTTCTTAGAAGGTGTTTAGGGTGGGTTTAGAGGGTCCAGATACCTTCTGAGGAGGTACTTGGAGCCCTAGGGAATTGGGAAATGGATGGGGATTGGAATGAAGAAATTGAGATGACCGGAGATGCACATGGGGAAAGCAGGATGAGTACTGTGTCCTTTGTTTTCGCGTTGAGCTACCTGAGAGTGCAAAGACTCCGTTTTTCTTTATCACATCACTTGCCAGTCACTGGCGAGTGATGCAACGAAAGCCTGGTAAATTGCAGGTTAGACTTGTACTTCTATCCACCTTTGATTCTCGAATGCACCGTGCACAGCACGGCTGAGCATGGGAACCCTCTGTCGACACCGCCAGCACACCTGCCTGTGCTGCGCAGAACAAGACGGTCTTCAAGATACGAAGGGAGTGGCCTACAACGTCCGCTCTCCTAGCGGGCGGCGGACATGAGACGGGCGAAGAGACGCGGACGGAAGTGACCGGAGGACGGTGGGGACGGGCGAACTTCTGTCCAATGACTCATCACCTGCGAGTTTATCACTACGGGTTGTGACAAGGAAGCTGGAAAGTGGCGATTGTTTGACGACGTTCGGATCGGAATTGCTGGTCTTTTTGAACACCTGAGCACCACAGACGGGTTTTATATTTAGTATATACACCCTGGGAGGCAGTCAAAGACTAAAGACTATAAAAAGAATGGTCTTTAGGTGGCCCGACAAGGAGCTTCCTTTTCTTTGGTGGTGCAATATTTCGTCGAACTGGACTTCTAGGCTATAGGCAAGAAGTAATAAAACCTGAGTTTCAAGCATGGCAAAACACCAGGGACTCTTGAATATCTCGCAGTGCGGTTCACACAAGGCAAATGCGCACGGACCCTTCCTTTGACCCGTCACAAGGCAAATGGAGACCGCCTGAAGCGCCAATGATGGCTGTTTGAAGAGCTTCACACGGCGCACCCGACTTTCTACAGGATCCAACACTGGGCACCACCGACCATCCAAGAGAGCTAGCCAGTGACCTGAACTAGCACCCTACTGAGGTACCCAACTGGGATAGTCTAGTTCGGTTTCTTCAACCTCTGTTGGATGGGAAGAGAATGGACCTTTGGAAAGAGAAGAGCTAGGCTCTTGGTCGACCGATTTCGGTACTCCTGACCCACTAAGCTCGGTTTGGCCACACCAAGCTCAGCTACTCTCCCGCCAACGATCCACATGGAACCTGAGAATTGACCGGTGGCTTCGACCATAGAAACCTCTACAACTCGACGTACCATGGTGTCAAGGGGTTCCATGTGGACCGATGATTGCAGGGAAGTATCCGTCGTGGTGAGCCCTCCAGAGTCGATGGGAACATCGTGATTGCCGGGTTGGTCCGCCGCCCGTGGGCGTGACGAGGACCTCATTGCGCTCTTGACCGCAGCTGCACAAGGCGCAGAGGATAGTGCAACGGGACACTTGAAAACTGTGTCATTTGTGGGTTCGTGGTGGTGTCAGTGCTTTTTCTGTTCAACCTTTACTTGGCGATGATTGAACCCACTGACAGGGGTGCCTGTTGCAGGATAGGAGTGCCTATTGCCCCTTGCGGAAGGTACTGAGTATAGGCAATATCCTTCTATAAGTGAATTGAACACCCCAAGCAGCGGCACCAGCAGCACCAGCAGCTAGTTGCGGGCCGTGGCTTAGATGCTCGAAAACAGTGGTAAAAACATGTAAACATTAAGTATTTAGATCGAAGCTCAGTGAAGCCTAGATGTTAGAGCCCAAACATGGATTTTGTTCCTGTCAAGACCAAGGCCAAATGAAGTGGGATCTGGATGGTTCTGGGAACATATACAGGATTCTGAAGTCAGTATCCCATCCTTTCGTTGCTTATCCCGCCCTTCCTTGTGAGGTCAGCAGCAAGTCATTGAGCGGCAACAGGATCGTATGGCCCGGCCCTCGGAAAATGAAGGGATCTTCGATTCTCCCACTCCGGGCTTGGTGGGTCGGGTCGGGTCGGGTCGAAGATGTTTTGCTTCCTCCAGGACCCAGGAGTGACTTGCCAAAGTCGACCTTTGATGATGGACCTGTGACGAACAGAACAGGCCTCTTCGTGACCGGCCTGAGCGGATCGGACGGTCACGTACGGCTCAGGTTCCGGGTTCCTGCGTTCCTGCGTTCCAAATCCAGACATTTTCAGACGAAGGCTGATGTCATTTGATGTCTCAGGTGAGGACTTATCGCTATATTGGTAAGGCCATCCTCCCCGAAGGATCCGAGCTCAGGCCCTCCACAGGGGTCGGACCTTCACCATTGCACGCAGGGGTCCGGACCCGAAGCAAACCCCATGTTTGAGGGCCCGGATTCTTAGTGTCCAAAATGAACCTCACCCTGGCACTGGCAGGTAGTCTTAGATCAAACCTTTTGTACAGTGACCCCACTTTAAAGGACATCTATCCTGAGCAGAATCAGCGGGTGATCATCTCGCTGTCTTTTTTTCAGCAAATGTCATTTCTAGACCATGAGCAGCATTCCAGCAACAGCTCCCACAGCCCCATCAGCTCGCTGCCATCCTTCGCCCGGTTCCGCGCCTCCGCACTCCGCGCCGACTCCGCATCCGCTCCGCCCCGTCTCCGAGGACAAGCTGCTCTCCGACTTCGCCTCGTTGAAGACTGAGTTGGTGAACCTGAAGCAGGCGACCGTCTCTCCGACCCGCCGCACGTCTCTCCGGTCTTCGCCGCGCACGTCCTTGCCGGCTCTGGCCGGCTCTTCGGCCCGACTTCGCCGGCACGGACGGCACACGCCGCACCGCACCTTTGGACGGTGGGTTTGGAGATGCTGAAGGGGGTGATGAGGACCCTAGAGCTACCGTACTGGTCCGTCTTTGTCCTTGTCCTTTTCCCCATTGCTGGTTTTCTTTGAGTGGAAAGAAGAAGAGTGCAGCTTCGCTGAAGGAGCTGAGTTTATATCTGTTCCTTCTGTACTCGGAACTTCCGGACCCCTCAGATGGCTTCGGTCTTCAGGTCCCGTACCCGGGACCCAGGACGAACCGGGTCGGGGGTCGGTGCGGAGGGTGCGGAGTAGCTGCCAGGGACCGCGCCAGCTTGAAATCCACATAGGAAATGCTTGGGACGCTTGGGAGTTCCATCCAGAACTCTTTCTGGTTGAGACCCAGGTAGCCAGGGCTGAGTTCTTTCGCTTTGAAGCTGCCAGGAGGAGTTTGACCTGCCAAACTTGCGGGGTAAGAAGAAGACGCTTGGCGCCCAAGACCGAGCGAACGCTCCGAACGGGTCACGGTCGACCACCACGGTGTCTTGAGGAGTCGTTCCGAGCGTCGGACGTCCGAGATCGGTTCCCTAGGATTCATTCCCAACCATTGTATTAATGGTACATTAATGGTCTGAATCCCAAAGAACCATTGTTTTACTAAGGATTCTTACACTACACCACCAGCTCAACCGTTCTTTTAATGGTCTTTGAAGGCTAGGGGGTTGGTTTGTGTTGATCAGGTTGACATCGGTCTTCTTTGAAACATCTCTCCCAGACGCGACCCTGGACCCTGCGTTCAGGGGCCGTACCCGAATCCTCTGGAGGGGCCCGGACCCGAACCAATCCCTATGGTTTGGTTCGGGACCAGTCGGGCGTCGTTCACGGAGCGTCTGGGCTATACCAAACCATCACGGTTTTACAAGGACCTGGAGTCTCAATTCGTACCTCGGAAATGGGGAAAAACGGTACAAGTACCTAGTTTTTGAGGGGTCATGTGCCATTTTCCTCAGGTACTGGGTCAGTCGGGTCCAGGGACTTGACACCAACCAGATCGTGCCCACCTGTCAACGCGACCCGCTTTTGGGTCGGACTTGCCCGGCCTCGTTTAACCGTGCGGCCGAGCCATCGGGCGAAAGACAGGATTGTGGAGAGGTGGGCGAAACAGCCCGGGTGCAAAGTCCCAAAGACGAAGGGATTGCCAGAAATACAATAGTATGAAGGCTAAAGTGATAATGATTAATGAAGACTGTAGTTATTAATCAGAATGCTTATGACTGATTGGTTCTGATGAAATAGAACCTGATCCACCTGGATTGTAAAACCTTGGCATATACAGTATATAGATATGGGGGGTTGAAATAGAATCAAGAGTTTCTATCAGGCCCTTTCTGCAAAGAAGATCCAGTCTAAGGGCTTCTGCGTCATAGACCTCCTGTGCTGTTGGTGGCCTAGGGTATTTCAATTCCATTCAAGTCCCCAAACAAGTGAATGGTCCTGAGTCCTGACAAAATCAACACGTACCCTAGGCCCTAGGCTTCCAACCACCATTGATTTAATATCCTGAATCCCGAACAGGGGTTGTTTTGTGCTAGTGGACTTTACACTAACTAAACCAGGTCAACCTCTGCTTTTGATGGTGAAGGCGAACGTGCCTATAAGCAGACGATATTACAGAAACGCATGTCTTCGATCATCTCACGGGTTGAAGAACTTGAAGCCGAAAAAATAACACACAAACAACGTGCCCTGAGAAATGGTCCGACTGGTGATCCGAGCCTGAGAATTTCCTTTACTTCCGTGTTGCTAAACATGGTCGAACTGGACATCTGCATAATAGGGCAACCACGCGATGGTCGCCTAGACCAACCTGGTGAGAACTGCGGAGAACCTCCTTTTCCGCCTGAACGCTCGGACAGGAAGAGTGGAAAAGGAGCCAAGCCGCGAGCACGCGCGGACGCGTCCGCGCCTGCCGCGGATGCGAATGCCACGTTGCTTGGCGAGAAGAGGTGGCTGGAGAAGTGGAGAGGTGGCTGTTGGCCACGCCTGCCTTTGGGGCGGCGGCCCATGGGTGTCACTAACAATTGGGATCCCGGAGTGCCGGAAGAAACGACGTTTTTTGGTTGTTTTTCTTAGAAGAAAGAAGCTCTATACTGAAAAACCCTGGTGGCATAGAGACGCAGGTGGAACCTGATGGCATGGACCAGACTGGAAGACCATTTCCCTCTACAACCTTCCTTTTGTGTGGTGGTTTTTGGACACCCCGGACACCAACACTTCATTTCGAGGGTCCATTAGACACCTCGAACGGGTGTCGGTCCTGGTATACAACATAGAGTTGCAGATTCAGATGAGCCGGGCCGCTTGGACTCGGACCCAGGGGCCTCTTTGAGAGCAGGTGGACTTAAGCAAAACATGCCCCCGGTGGGATTTGAGGGACTTGCCATGGATTTGAAGAGTAGCTTCTTGTTACTAGTAGTACGGCCATGCGTAGCGTCCGAACGCTCCTAAGAGTCTGTTCTTCCCCAAGAAGCATGGGTTTTTACTGGAATCGGCTGGCACCCACCCCAGTCTCACCGAACCTCAGAAGGTACTTACCTGGAGCCTTAGGGCATCTTAGAGCTAAGGATTTTTGTACTTGTAACAGCAAGTCAACCATATTAAAGACCTGGTCGAACCGACTAACACGGAACCCCCCCGGGGCTCCTGGCGAACATCTTTGTGGGAACTGCCTGGATGCTTTGGGGTCCCCAAAAGGAAGAGCACGGCCGTTCCAGTTTGGAGTGGGGTTCCGTTCCATCCAGTTGGAGGTGGATGGACCGCCCCAAAAGCAGGCACCACCCCGGTAAGACGCGCTCGCTCCGCAGAGGGTCCAACGTCGAATGTTTCTGAATGTGTTTTGCCCGCGATGGAAATGGCCACATTCCGCTCCATGCTCGCCTTTGGAACACTCTCCCCAGTTTGACGAGGAATAGCAGCAATGCCACCAACCTCACCAACACCAGCGAGCCAGTACCTGAGAACCCGCACCGCGGGACCACGCTGACCTTAGTGGGACCGTCCTGCGGTTGGGCGCAGCGCCAGAACTCGGCTCGAGAGCCTTTTTGGGGTGAGGATTTGGTTGGTCAAAGCTCCAGTACAACGGTGGTTCATGGTGTGACAGGGAAGCTCGGCAAAGAAATTCGGCCAGGAATCCTTAGGGAGGTTTTGCAGTTGAGCTTGGCAGTTTGCCTTGTGAGACCATCCCATTCATGTTGCATTGGAAAAGGTCGACAGGGTCCCTGACGGGTGGGTGGTTGGCTTTTGCTGAATGGTGACGTTTGTTTTCCTCAGGAATCGATTCGATTTCATAAGGGTCCCCGCCGGGTCCCCCCTGTGAAATGACCGACTGCCATGACTCGGAGTCAATGGGGTAATCTGCTATTACCATGCTATTGACAGGCCGAAGAGGTGATTGGGGACGAGGTTTTTTCAAGTGTTTTTTCCCAAGCTCCTGGGGCAGCAAATCCAAGTTGATCTCCTGTAGGTCGTTTACTATTTGGTTGGTGGATGAATTGAGGGGATACCGCCGCCAAATCTACAACCCATATAGGTATATAAATGATTACCCGGTTCAACCGACTCCCAAATGGTAGTGGGTCAAAACAGGGGGATTCTGTTTTTCCCACCAAAATTGAATAGATTCCTCGATCTGTTCGGCATGTCAATAGCCACCATGGTTTGGTGGAGAGGTGCCATTGACTCGCAGACTCACAGCCATATTCTTCCCATTCCGTGTGTGTACTGCTGTTTTCTGCCAACCTACTAGCAATGGCTTCCACCCTACTAGCGATGGCCTCCAAGCTACTAGCGATGGCCTCCAACCTGCTAGCTATGGCCTCCCAACCTGCGAGCGATGGCCTCCAACCTACTAGCTATGGCCTCC